ACGAACACTTCTAGACAAGCAATAGTAAATTCAGTTAAGTTTTTCAGATTTCATATTATGTTTTCACTATGTATTGTGATTAAGGACTTAAAATCAAGCAAATTTGGCTTTAATCATTCGACTCTACTAAAATTGATTAATTTTAATGATTGCTTTGTTGTTTTCCATGAACCAATAAAAAAAATATATATATATATACACACACACATATATATATATATATGTAATATAATATAAATTACAATAAATGAAAATATAATGAATAAATAATAAAACAAAAATTATGTTAGTAGCTGCAATTTAGTTGTAAAGCTTAAAAATAGTTAAATACTGCTGTTCATTTCTATTTCTAAGTCATTTATAATTTTGTAATCTAGACAAAAGGCAACTTATTGAATGTTTTTGCACCAATATACAATTAAAAACATTAAAATAAAAATATACATTTATACAGATAAAAGAAATCTGTTTAGCTGCAATGTAGTTAGCCTTTTTGTTAGCAGGTTGCAAAGTAACTAACTATTTTTAAAAGTTAAACTACTTCAAATTATCAGTAGCGTGCAACAAAGATTCCAGGGAGAAGTCCCACACCGCATCTGATTCTGAGTGCAAAACCAATAGCGTTAATGAACACGTTCCGTGAAATCCATTTCTACAAACAAATAAAACCCAAGCTGCTGAAATCAAACTGGCCGACAGAGCATCAATTTCACCCCGTACCGTTCTCCAGGAACAGCTATATAATGAGGAAGAAAAAGAGACACAAGGACACGAGTAGGACATGGGAATGAATGTGTAGTCTCTTCACTCGCCACAAGAGCTTGTAATCCTCTTCTACATTTACTGCAGAAGCTCAATATCACTTCAATTCTCCCATGAGTGCCCGGCTGCTTTGTACCTATCTGCTCTGAAGTGGATCTATTCACATATTACCCGTTCATTCTTCCAGCCCTCCAAAATACCGGCTCCCCTTTAGACCTGAGGGGCCATTGAGAGATGAGCCCATCTGGGAATTAACTGAATCGCATTAGCCATGTCAATCAAACACATGGCGACTTCGGCGACTTCAGGCCAAAGTGCTGCGAGATGTAAGTGTGACACGACCCCAGATTCATATTTAAAACAAGAGATGTGTCGATTTCATAAATCAAACTGTTATCAGTTTGCTTTTTTGGCAGTCACATGGCAGTCCGTGTTTCTACCAAACTCTGTCCAAAACTATCAATGTGTCTTTCATTTTCTCCCTCATCTACCATGTTATTTCTTCTGGTTTGTGTTTTCTGGGATTCCTCCACATGCCTTGTACCTCTTAATTATCTCAAAATGAATCAGCAATTAACTGATCCTTCAACATGACACACATTACATAGTCAGGTCAACGTTTAACATGGTGACAGTTGCCATGCTAAAGATGAAGACCGGCTGTCATGTGTGTTATACATCCATGAAATTTTAAATAGACGTTGTGAAGCAAAATGTATTGTCTATATTTTCTATGATGTGATGATTTCATTAGGGCCGTATGAGTCACATGTCAAATAACATGTTAACCATAAATTCCAACAAAATACAGTTATTTTTTACAGTAAAACTGTGGTAACATTGGCATAAAAAAAGAGATAAATATGTAATTTAGAAAGAAATTTTAAAAGCTTCTTACAGCAGATCTCACATAGATTTATAATGCTTTCACAATAGTAACTAGTTTAAAATGTGGTTACCATATTTTTTGTATCATATTTTAGAGCTTGATAACTAACATACTCTGATTAGATAGCACGAATATCACTGCAAAAATCTTTTTTGTTTTTTAAAATTTTTGAAAAATTTTTCTGGCAAGCTCGGGTTCTCTATGAGTGAAAAAAATAAATATAAAAAAAATTATATTAAATAAAATATGCATTTGAATAATGAGTATTTAAGAGGGAGAATGTGCTTAAGTGTCTAATAATTAAAAAAAACTGTCAATGGCATTAAAAAACAAAAACAATAGTTAAGTTTTCAATAAGCTCTAATTTCATATGAGTGAAAAATAAAATAAAATAAAATATGCACTTGAATAATGAGCATTTAGGGAGACATGTTTATTTATCATTAAAAAACAAACAACAACAATAATTGAGTGTATGAGTGGCACAATAAAATAAATAAATCAAATGAAATAAAAGTACATTAATATGCATTTGAATAATGGGTATTTAGGGGGGATATACGCTTAAAAATAAAAATAAATGTCAGATCAATAAAAAAAAAACTCAATGTAATTAAAAATGTGCAAAACAATAGTATTAAAATAAATTTCTGTAAAGACGTGTTAAAAACTGATATTGTATGTACAAACAATTAAAAGGACAAACTGCCTGGCAGGATCTTATTATCAGACAAGATAACTAGGCACAATAAATTCTGCTGTTTCTGAGAGAATCATTCCCTCTCATGAGGTTTGGTCTACGAGTTTCCAATTCCAAAGCCCAGTGAATTGAACAGTTCAAACTTCCACATCAATTAGAGCAATAAGCATGATCAGAACGGTGCGAGGAGAGACCGCCTCATGCTCTCTGCCGGGACTGTGTCAATTTCGGACTCAATTAATGATTCTTTCAAGCCTAATGTTCACGCAGTTGGTATTCATTTGAGGTGCTGGGGAGAAATCGCACATACATTTCCATTAGGACGCCCACCGAAGGGAGATGCTTCAAACGCTCTTCATTTGCATGTGTTTTGCTATTTGTAAAGAATAAAATGCTGTTTAAGAGAAAATAAGACAATTCAGTGCATTCGACATATTCCTCAAGTAATACAAGTTGTATACTTTAGATTTAATTGGATTGTGAACGAGATAAAATAATTTAAATAAGGAACTGAGGGAATTTGTTTTTTTAGCAAAAAATGACCGTGAATTTAACGGTGAAAAAGACTGTAAAAATGCTACAGTAAAAACTTGTTAAGTGGTTAACGGTAAATTCCTCTACTATATACGGTGAAAAACTGTACTGGACATTACATGTAATTTTACTGTAGTATACCATTTTTGGAAGTGAAATTGACATTCCCAGAATTCCCTGCGTTACATTTCATATTTGATGTTTTTTTTGTTGAAATAACTATGTTTCTTCTTAGATTTTTTCTTATCAGTTTTGTATATTAGGGTTGTGTGTTAGACCTAATGTTGTTAAATTAATGTTTATTGCATTATTTCAGTTTCAATTTTTATGTGTGTTACCATGACGGTGTTTAGTGTTTGTGTGAATAACACTGTGCACCTTCTATATATGTTATTATTTAAAAGCTGCTTGTGATGGGCTTTAGTTCATCATGTGACTTTCTCATCACCACCTGCATTTGGTGGTTATCAGTGTATTACAAAAATACAAAACAGATTTCAGTACTTCAATAGGTTGGTATATTAACATTATATCAGTTAATGAAATTACGGTATTTAACTGTAAATTTAAGTTAAAACCGTAAAACCTCAAATGTTGCTACAGTGTTTTTTATGGTAAAATTCAGGCAACCACAGCTGCTGTTTTTTTACCGTAAATTTTATGGAATTTTTTTTTCAGTGTAGTTTGAGTAATTGTTTTGTGACTCTTTCTTTGTTGGATTCTGTTTTACTCATGAGTTTCAATAGTCAGCTAAACACATATGCTTATAAAAATGTCAATACAAATTATGTTTCTGGAATTTGTTTCACTTTTACAGTTGATCAATTATATAAACTAATAATATTATATTATTGATGTCATTCATCATCAACCAGAGATATTCCACAGTCCAGAGATATTCTTTTAGATTAAAAATATTAATTAAAAATGTAACAATAAAATGGCATAGCAACTGCTTGCTGTCAGTTCAATTCTTTATATCATATTATATTTGTATTATGCACATTACTATGCTATCTGTCACTTTATATATATATATATATATATATATATGCATTATTGAAATGTGAAAAAATGACACAAAAACAACGCTATTCCTTCACTTCTGTTATTTTGTCATGACAATACTCTAGTAAAGTAGAATTACTCCCAGAACAATCTCTCTCTGCATGTATTTGTATCTCTTGTTACATTATGCTGAGACACTCTTGCTAATAAATCTTTTTAGCTAATGCATTCCAGATGGAAGCTGCAGCGGCCTGCTTTGACCTTCCTAAACCCTTCCAAAATTCCTCCCCCTGCCCGAGCCCGACCATTTATCTGCCTTTGATTGAAATGCCATCAGCAACCTTTGACAACAGTGTAATATCATTAGAGGAGGGCTGTTACTCTCACAGGACTCTGGTGGCTTCTTCAGCCCGGGACATGAACTCATTCTCACTGAAGACTCTTCACAGCAGCACTGTAACTAATAACTAACAACTGAAAGATTTCAGTGGGGAATATGTTGAATGTCACCTGACAAAATCAGAAAACGGGTCTCATTAAAGTGTTAACTTTAAGCAGTGGTGATATTTATGAACTGATGGTGATATCTATGTACTTTTAAGATAATCAGCTAACTTACCTATTTTTTTTTAATTGTTATTGTAAAATAAAAAAAATTTTTTGTGTCTAAGCAAATGCCAAATGCCAAAAAGTAATGTTAGGTTAAAACAATAGAAATCCTGTTCAAAATGAAAAGTACTGTGCAACTTTGTGGTTGTCAAGCATTAGTGAAACTAACAAATATTTGTATATGATGAACTCCACATTTATTTTCAAAAGCTGTAAATAAAACAGATTACTAGAGTGCATTTTTTCAAGAAAATAATGTTTCAGGTTTTAAAATTTCATATTTAATTCAATGTTACTTGACAATTCTTTGTAAAACATTTACTAGCAGTTTCTGAGTAAAAACTGTTTCAGCAACCTTTTTTTCTTTTATTTTTCACCTGTGTGAACTTGAGGAGAAATGACTTCATACAGCCACTAAACATCACAAAAACACCAACTGATTATAAGACACTGAGCAAAAAAAGTCACTGTTCTGGACAGTGTAAATGTCTATGTTTGTTAGTGTGCCCTCAGTTCTGGTGGTGTGATGTAGGTCTTTGTGTGACCAGTAGAGGGCCCCTCATCAACAAAACACACACACTTCACAAGATCAAACTGCTCATCCATGAGGATATTTGAGAATGAGCTTTCAGTTTCAAACTGTGAACAAAAACCCCACTGGAAGTGAGCACTGAGAAAAATAAACTTGTTCTTCGGAGAGGTTATGGGTCACAGGAACTTCAGATTTCTGCTCAGGGCCATTTGTCAACATTGATTTTAATGTAGGAGACACTGAGAGCCCTGAATGACGCTCTATACTGTGTGCCACTGTACAAGTCACTTTGTTCTGTCATAAGGTGATTGTAAGAAACATAAACTGCATGTAAACATTAGCAGATAAACATTAAATGTGAATCATTAGCACATACGATTAGACATGTTTAGCTGTGGTGCTCATACAGGCCACGATTCGAGATCCATTCACGGCATTTTCACATCAGTTTATTTCTCTGCTGCATTTTAAATAAAAGGCCAAAAGTGTCCAAAAATGGCTAAAAGAGTCTGCTCACAGACTGTGCATTCTTTACAAACATTACCATGTTTCCATCAAAATTCCACTACAGTTATTGGTACTACAGTTATTAAAATCATATTAAATGAATATTTTTCATATAGATAATACAATAAAAATTCACATTTTAATATATGCATGTAGATTTACTTCAAATATTGTAAGAAACTTTCACTATCTTTGTCTTTTAGTTTATATTTTGTCACTTTTAGTGTATATTATTATCATTTTTTTTTACAGTGGTAGCTAATAAGCAATTTTACTGTAGAAAAATGGTTTGCATTGTACATTTGTGTAAAGTGAGCGGGATTTCTGTCCACAGACTGGATGTAAACACTAGTATGGCACCTGTACAGCATCTGTAGTAACACTCTGGCTTCAGTGCCTCGATACTGCAGCCAAAACTTCACCTCAGATCTTTTATTCTGGTCATGAATCTTTAACAATACCCATCTGCACACAGACACACACACACACACACACACACACAGTTTTGACCAACAAAGCCCCATATGCCTCTTCCTTTGACCTCCTTCAGAGAAATATGCTGGTGCATGTGGCTCTTGCCACAACTGAGAATGTATGCAATTTTGCTGAATTGCAATTCAAAGAAATTCAAAGGAAATCTAATATCTAACACTCTGGTCCACGAATGAATGAATAAATAAAATATGGATTTCATTTTTCAAAACTTGAAATTTGTTTTATACATTTAATTTATATAATAATAATAATAATAATAACACACACATAGGCTACAGACAGTAGCGCGTACATCACGCACACATCGTGCACGCACAGAATCATTCAGCGCGGAAATGTATTGTCAACACTGTTCTGAGATTTCTCAATAAAATAGCTTAGAAACTGAAAAGTTCAAGCATATATTTCTTAATAACTAAATCCCACAGCTTCACTACTAGTAGAGAGACGCTGCCAGATAGAATTAATTCAAACACGCAATCGTTCTCACTAATGCATTCATATGAATTTAATCTTTACTGTACTACTTTATCTGATTTAGAACGAGCAGAAATCTGTGAGAAACATAACGACCCAAAGACAAAAGAACTGATAAAAATTAGCTGTTATAGGAGCAATAGCCATGTGGGCAGTACTGTGTCGTATGCCATAGCTGTGCACAAGGTGTTTGTCACAGCTCCAGACTTATTTGTTCATTAATGACATCATCAGCGACTAGTCGACTTCGACTCGACTTTCATCACATTAAAGTCGACTTTAAAAAATCAGAAGTCTTTCAACCCCAAATATATACAAATACACACACACAGTTGTGGTCCAAATTGTATATATACTCTGCAGTATCTGCAAAATTTTAATTATTTGACCAAAATAGGAGGGATCATACAAAATGCATTGTATGATTTTGAGATCCATTTTTTCACACTGAGCACAACTGAGGAACTGATTACAAAAGGTTCAAACGCTCACTGAAGCTCCAGAAGGAAACACAATGCATTAAGGGCCTGGTGGTGAAAACTTTTTGAATTTGAAGATCAGGGTAAATTTAACTTATTTTGTCTTCTGGGAAACATGTAAGTATTTTCTGTAGCTTCTGAAGGGCAGTACTAAAGGAAAAAATATGATATTTAGGCAAAATAATTTTTTTTTTAAACACCTTCATTCTGTTCAAAAGTTTACACCCCTGGCTGTTAATGCATCATTTTTTCATCTGAAGCTTCAGTGAGTGTTTGAACCTTCTGTAATAGTTGCATATGAGTCCCTCAGATGTTCTCGGTATGAAAAAAGATGGATCACAAAATCATACAGTTGTTGGAAAGGGTTCAAATATGAAAAAGATGCTGGAAAACCAAAGACTTTGTGGGAGCTGAAGGATTTTTTCTGAAGAACAGAGGGCAGTTTAACTGTTCAGAACAAACAAGTGACTCATGAACAACTATCACAAAAAAAAAACAACTACTGTGTATCATCCAGGTAACAACACAGTATTAAGAATCAAGCGTACGTAAACTTTTGAATGGGGTCATTTGTGTAAACGTCTTTTATGTGAAATATCTTCAGGTCAGTACTAAATAAAAAATAACATGTATTTTGTATGACAATTAACATTTTGCAGATACTGCAAAGTGTATGTACAATTTTGACCACAACTGTATGTATGTGTATATATATATATACTTTATATAATAATAATAAAAAATAAAAAAAACATTTCATCTTAAAATTCAAAGTTGACTTTATTCTACCTCATTTCAAACTCAGGATTGATTTGGAATTTATCAGCAAATTCTCAGATTTCAGATCTGAAAGGCACACAAGTGTCTTTGTGCGTGTAGGTCACAGGAGTGAGTTATAAAGAACATCCGTGTACAGTTAGGATGTCTCTTTCATTGAGACCCGCCAGATATTATGATTCCAGGGAAGCATGCTGCATTTGTCTTCATTTTGTCAGACTGTCTTCATGCCTTATTATTAGTGGCTGTCAGAGTGAGAGAGGATGGGTGGGATGCGTAGGCCGTGCTTGGTCACACACACACACACACTGGCTGAAGGAGAGGACAGGAAACTCCTCCGCTTTACCCCAGACCCACCCTAGACAGCCTCAGATGTCCTTTAGAGATATCCCATAATGCCTCAGTCACACCAATGAAGGTCAACAAAACTCTGGCGCAGTTTCCGCACAATGGTGGCCACTCCCCTCGGAAACAGTCATCCATTTTTTATGCCCTGTGAGAAATGCCTTTGGTTTGTGATTCGCTAACGCCCTCGCAAACAAATAAACCGTATGGCTGGCTAACAGCATGGAATATTTACTTAATATATTCGCTCTTTCTCTCTGCGTGTTTGGCGTGTGATTTGTGCTGTGACTTATGCAGGCAGGCGCCGGGTGAATAATGACTGCACGTCTGCAACACAGAGTTGATTCCAGCACTCAGGTGGAGAGAGAGACAGACTACAGCTGTTACATAAGAAAAAACAAGACATTTCAGTGGCCACAACACCGCCGAATGCACCGTTACACTGATGCCCAAACTGATCAGACTCAATGGCAAATCACGTTATTTCTCTGCCACTATCAGCACCAAATATAAATGCAAATAAAGACTGTTTTCAGACAGGTTTTGAAATAAAACTGAAATGGCACACTTCACCTTATTACTCCTAATACTCCAAATACTAATGTGCATCTGAACTTCTGACTAAATCAAAACATGATTCTGTTTATCTGAACAATGACAAAGTGTTTAGGAAGCTTCTTTGGAAACAATTATTATTTATGTGATTTAATTTGTCACCACAAAAATTATACGCAAAATGACATGAGATGAGATTCACACAAATCAAAGATGGATTTTTCTTTAATCCTCAATATGACTATTAATTGATCTCATGAATATCTAATTTGACAGCAATATATTTCTATAGATAAAGACCGAACAAAACTGTATGTTTGACAGGATATAGCTATGAAACCTAGTAAATCTACTACAAAATTAACTTAAGCTTAAATTTTGGTCTTTCTTTGAATGGAAAATAAATAAATAAATTGCATTTTGAAGCAAAATGGATTGTGGAAAACATTTAGCTTACATTTTGGTCTTCTATTGTATGAAGAAAAAATATTACTTTATATATATATATATACATATACATATACATACATATATATACATATATATATATTTGTAAACAGGTTTTGGAACAAAATGGAAGTGAGTAAATGATGATAGAATATTTATTTTTAGGTGAATTATTCTTTTAATCCCTTTATGCATATTGACTGCTGAAAGAATTGAGATAAATCAATGATCTACTCCAACATGTCGAGTACAGTAGCAGCAATCAAGCCTATTAATCACTGCTCATAAGAAACAATGTGGTTCCAGTGAGCAACATTTACTTAACCAGCAGTGATGACGTCCAAGGAACCAGCGTTTTTGTAAATGCTTTGAAATGTCAAAATTGGCACCATGAGTTATTATACTTTCCTTTATTATAGACAAAGCCAGAGAAAGAGAGAGAGGGAGACTGTGACTGCCATTAGATCATAAAATCAAGCCCCAGGGAAACTCTGAGTCACTACATGACTGCTCACTACCAGACAGAGCCAGAGAGAGATGGAGTGGGAAAAGACATTTACTTAAAGGCATAGTTCACCCCAAAATGAAACTTCTCTCATCATTTATTCACCCTCACGTCATTTCAAACCTGTATGGCTTTCTTTCTTCTGTGGAACGTCTATTCCTGTAGAAGATCTATTCCTTCAACTGCAAGTGTCTTAACGCCTACAAAAGCATGTTAACCAATAATATAAACCACAGCTTGTTATTCTCAGGTTGAAAAGAAGCCTCAATGTTTAAAGATCAGCTCATGAGACGGGACCCCGGTAGAAAGGCAATAAAAGCCCTTTCCACTGGTTTGTTCTGCAGAGCCACAATCAAACGTAATTAAAGCAGAGCATTCCGGCACTCCGAACCGACGGGAGTCTCCCATTCCGGCTCTAACGAGACAGAGATACTTCCACTTTACAGTCTCTGGATGACAAACTCAGAGCGCTATAAAACAGCACGCTAAAAAACTCCAGCACTGCAGGACGAAGCCTGAA